GATGGCTGAGTAGTATTCCTTTGTATGTATATATGTATGTATATGTGTATACAACTTCTTATCCAGTCATCTGTTGATGGACATTTAGGTTGCTTTCATATGTTAGCTATTGTAAATACTGCTGCTGTGAACATTGGGGTGCATGTATCTTTTCAAATTACAGTAAAAACAATTCTTAATTTATGTATCTGTCTCCTTATAATTCTCTCAGTTGTTGTTTTACATAATTTGAGGCCACATTGTTGGGTGCACATATGTTCATGGTAGGTATATCTTCATGCTCAATTATTCCTTTTTTCCCATAACTTTTTTTTTTGCCTTGAATTCTATTTTCACTATATAAGAAATAACCTCACTTATTTTTATTCATATTTGTCTTGTCTTTTACTGTCCTTTTATCTTAATCCATTCAGAATCCTTGTGCTCTTAATATTTCTTGTGCAGAAAAACAGCGCTAGATCCTTTAAAACACACACACATGATCATCTTGGTTTTTTATTTAATTGGTGACTTTAATTTACAAATATTTTAAAGTGATATAAGCATTTACTATGCCGTCTTTTATACATAATACATTTATTACATAATTTGGGGTCTTTTTTCCCCACTTTCCATTGAATGGAATAGATTCTATTCGCTAGTTAAAAGTTACTCATTCCTTGTAAATTATGATGGTTGCCTTAATTTAAAAAAAGACTTGTACTTATGTGCATTTATTCCTATTAGTCATGATTATAACAAACAACCATCTATACCATTTACCTAGCTTAGAAAATAAAACCCTAGGAAATAATACTTTGGTAGAAGACATGTGTATACCCCTCTTTATGACACCTTCTTTCCTCCTCCTCAATGTTAATCACTCTTTTTTTTCCCTCCTTAACAGAGGCACTGGGGATTGAACCCAGGATCCCATGCATACCAAGCATTCGCTCTACCACTGAGCTATACCTCCCAACCCTAGGTTTTTTTGTTTTTATTACTCTTTTGAATGTCATATTTATTCTCCCTAGAAATTACTGTGTATTTTTGTTACATACGTATATAATCCTAAGTTTTATGTAGTCTTGTTATACATGTTTTATACTTAAAGCAAGTAATATCATCTAGTATATATCCTTTGTGACTTGGTTTATTTTGTACTCAATATTATATGTGAGATTTATCCAAAGTTGATACATATTATTTGTATTCAGTACTACACACTGATTGTACGTATCCATTATATGAATAAATCACAGTTAATTTATCAGAGGTATATATTATCCAGTTTTAACAGCAGAAGATGGGAACTGAAATAAACAACCTTTATGATTTTAAGAAGAAATGAAAATGGTAACCAAAATAAAATAGTAAAAAGAAACAAGTGAATTTTCCAAATTACCTATTCAGCAGATTGGCCTAAAACCCAAATCTCAGTAACAGGGAAAACAAGCTATCGTAGCAAAAATAATTTCATCCGCTAATGCCTCTTGTATGGGTCTATTTGGGCAGTCATAACAGAATATCACAGACTAAATGACTTAAACAACAAAATTTTATTCTCTCTCAGTTCTGGATGCTGGAATTACACATAATTACATATACATCAAGGTGCGATAAGTGTTACTGTGTGGAGAGGTCTCTCTTCTTGTCTTACAAATGGCCTTCTACTTGTTGTGTCCTCACCTGACCTCTTCTCTGTGTGTGGATGAGGGAAAGAGAGGGAGGGAGGGAGAGATTTCTGATATCTCTTCGTCTTTTTATAAGGATGCCCATGTTCGTCTTTTTATCAGATAAGGGCCACACCCTTACAACCTCATTTAACCTTAAGTACCTGCCTAAAAGCCCTTCTCCAAACATAGTCACAATAGGAGTTAGGGCTTCAGTACATGAATATTGGGGAAGGAACAAATTTACTCTACAATACTGCCAAATCATATATACCACTTAGCTATTGCCATAACAATGTTACCAAAAAAAAAAAATCCCTCAAAATCTTACCAGCTTATAAAACAAATATTTATTTTTATTGCTCATGCGAGTGAGGTAGGGATGAAATGGTCTCAGTTGTTGCGTGTAGATCCAGACTGCAGTTCAGGTTTAGGTCTAAGGGCTATTTTTGGAGCCCAGGCTAAAAGTACAAAGGATACCTAAGACTTGGTCTTTTCAGGGTGATGGCAGAAGCACAAGAGCACAAAACCCAATTACATAAACACATTTAAAGACTCACCTTGAGCCAAATTTACCAACATCTCCTCAGCCAAATAAAATCACATGACCAAGCCCAAAATCAAGAGGCAAGGAAGTCAATTTTACCCACTATGTGGCTATGCCAAGGGTAACCATGTAACACAACTACAGCATAGTGGAGAATTGGGAGTAATAATTCAGTTAGCTACAGCATGTGTTCTCAAGATCTGAGCGTTTGGCATGAGCATTAATTGACACTAAAAGACATTCTTTTATGTCATTCTAAGTGAAGTAAGCCAGAAAGAAAGAAAAATACCATATGAGATTGCTCATATGTGGAATACTAAAAAAAAACAAAAAAAAAACAAAAACAAAGCATAAATACAAAACAGAAATAG